CCCAGCTACTCAGGAGGCTGAGGCAGGAGAATCGCTTGAACCTAGGAGGTGGAGGTTGCAGTGAGCTGAGATGGTGTCACCACACTCCAGCCTGGTCAACAGAGCAACACTCTATCTCAAAAAAAGAAAAAGAAAAGAAAAGAAAAAACAATAAAATAAATATAATACAGAAAAAAATTGTATAAGCTCAGGGTAGAAGTGTACTTCTTAAATAAGACAAAAGAAACACAAACCATGAAGAAAATGATTGTATATTTGACACAGAAAATTGACATTGGTCCATCAAAAGATGCCATTTTCAAAAGTGGAAAGAACCACACGCTGGTAGAAGTTATGTTCAATGCACATAACTGAAAAATGATTAGTATTCAGACTGCAGTGAACTCCTCCACCTCAATAAGAAAAAGACAAACAACACAACAGAAAAATGGGCAAAGGGCTTGAATAGTAATTTCATAGAAAAGGAAAAGTGAATGGCCCATAAACACGTGAAAATATGCTCAACCTCATTAGTAATCATGGAAATGCAAATAAAAAGCACCACGCCGTGCCATTTTATGCCAACCAGATTGACAAAACTGTTAAAGTCTGACAATAGCAAATGGTGTTGAACTTGCAGGGCAACCACATAGGCCTGCCATTGACAGTGTAAATTGGAAGAGCCAGTTTCAAAAACAAGTCAGCGTTATCTAATAAGATTGAAGATATATGTATGACACAAGTCAGTAATTCTCCTGCTAGCATACACACTAGAAAGATCTTTCATACGTGCACTGGGAAGCTTTTATAAGAATGTTCATAGCAATAACGTTTCAATAGGAAAAAGTTGAAAACAGCTCAAATTTCATTAGCAGTAAAATGGATAAATATTTGTGGTCGCAGCAACTCAGAAGGCTGAGACAGGAGGATCGCATGAGCCCAGGAGTTCAAGGCTGCGGTGAATCATGATGGGATCACTCGACTCCAAACCTGGGCGACAGAATGAGATCCCATCTCGAAAATAAATAAGTACTGTGTACTATTTGCCTACAATGGAATATAACACAGCAGTGAAAAGGATTAAATGACTCCTGTATGAATTTCAGAAACATCATGTTGCATCAAAAATGCAAATAGCAGAAGAAGCCACACAGCATAATTCTATTTATTCAGTCAGAAAACATGGCTAAACCAAACAAGACTTTGTTTAAAAATTATAGAGAGAAGCAAGGGGTGATAAACACAAAATTCAGGATATTTACCTCTGTGGCGAGCAGGGCGTGAGATGGATGGAATCCCATGAAAAATTGGGGCATTGGAGCCCAGAGCGTCTTTGTTAGCTGGGTCATGGGCACACAACACTATCTTTCTTGATGCCTTCCAGATGGGTATAGATATAGATGGGGAACGTGTATTGGCTAACTGTGAACTGAATTAAAGTGTTAATCTAATGCAAAATGGTGCACATGGCCTCCAGACCCTAGATCCAAGTGGCCTGGGTAGAAAGCTGGTGCCATGTCTTCTTGAGTAGCTCTCATCATCCCCCCAGGCCTCCGTTTCTTCACCAATGACTGGATCTGACGACAGTGAATTACAGAGTAATTATAAGCTTTATACCTATGACTTAATGTTTTGTCAAGTGCTTAAAGCAATGTCTGGTACCAGGAAAGCACTATGTATATGTTTGTTAAACAAAGGGTGGGGCTTGTGAAGGGTTCTGGGGAAGTGGAGGGGAGGACTGAATTTTCAAGGTGTTCTCATAATCCGGGAGCAAAACCTGAAAGGCCTGGCCCTGCACTTCCAGCGTGGGGACAGCTTTTGTGGCCCCCTTTCAAAGCCTGGGGGGAGATAAGATATTCTATGGCAGAGAACTTGGGGAGCCCCTGGGGCGGTCTGTTGATGAAGGGAGGGACAAATGTCACTCCAATTCACAGTCCATGATATGCCTGTCCTTAGCTTCTTACCATGGGGGGAGCTGCTGCTGGGAGTGAGTTTGGGGGTCTCAAGCACATTGTCAGCCCTCTCCCCAAAACCAAGCTGTGTGAGTAACCAGCTCAGCTCCCTTTCACCTGGGGGTTGGTTTGCCCCTGAGCGTGCCTGGCCTTTTCCTCCACTTCATGTTATCTGCGGGAGAAGAGCCTTAGGTTGCCGGGGCAGGGGCTGGGGGGAGCTGGTTCTGGGGTTAAATTCTGAAGTCACCTGGTTCCCAGAGAGACCGTGCTTGCCCATCTCAGGTCTGCGGGACTGGAGAGGCACCGTGTTGCCACCGGAAGCACCGCACAGGGAATGAGCAGGATCTGATGCTTGGAATTAAACTCACTACTTACAGGGCGTTTCCTATGTCAGGGGACACTCTGTTCGTAGGCTGGTGTTTTCTCTTCATAGTCTGGGAACTCCAAAGAGAAAAATATTGTTCCTCCTCTTCCCTGGATGGTGAAATGGCTTCTTGCTTTCATCACTCGTGCTGGTGACAACCACGGGTTCGTTCCAGAAGCCCTTACTGAGCCCTTGCTATGTTTGGAGTCTATTTCGGCCTCATTCTTGCCCCTGAGTGGGGTGCATGCCATGCTGTCCCCTCATGAGCCTGGCCCAGTGTGTGTAGCAAGTGAGACCATCTGTCCTGCAGTGAGGCTGTCTGAAGTCATGTCTAACGACCTGCTTCTTTTACATTTTTTAACTTTCTGGCTCCCAAAAAAAAACCATTGTTTTGAGTCCAAGAGCTTCAAAGGCTCCTGCTTAGGGACTGTGCTGTGGTGGCCATGGCGGTTCCTTCTAGTCCACATGTGGCCCAGAATGCCAGCAGGCACCAGTCCCCGGGGAGATGGCCCAGCCCCCGTGGGGTGTGCTCCAGCCGATGTGGAAAACAGACGGCTCATGAAGCCGATCTTGGTGGCATCTTTCCGCAGCAGCAGTGCCCTCATGACAGTTTGGTGCTGCAGGAAAGCTCTAAAGCCAGATGGCAGCCTTGTCAGGGGACCTGGACCAGCAGGAGGCCAAGCATGAAGTGAGGAGGGCTGGAGAGACCCTTCTCAGGGAGGACTGCCCGCCCTAGAGAGGAAACCATGGAGAGAGCCAGCCCCCACCTAATGGCACCACCCCCAGGCCCCTAGCCCCGCAGCTCAGCTCCTCGGGGTCACCTGTTCTCTCTGCCACATACCAACTGCCATTCCAGGGCGCGGTGTTCTCACCGATAAAGCCACACTGGGCAGGTGAAACCTCATCCCATTGTTGGACGGGCAGATGTTGCAAAGGACGGCTTCCTAGGCCAGGCCTGGAAGAGCTTGGCTTGGAATGGCAGCCTGGTTCGCGGGCAGCCCCGACCTTCTGGCAGCCGCGGGACGGCCTGGGCCCCCCGCCCTCCTGGCCGCTGTTTGTGATGACTCACCTCTGGTTCCCAGGAACGTTGTTATTTTTGGCCCTGGTGTTATTAAGATTGTGCCCAGATTCCCTGCAAATCGGCCACTAACCAGCATGGACCCTAGTGAAAGGACGCGGAAAAACAGAGGGCCCAGGGCTGCAGGGCGGCGCGCTCCGCTCCGGGAGGCTCCCGGCCTTGGAGGGCTCCAGCCTCCCCGGGGGCCCAGCACGGATGACTCCTGGGCTCCACACCCGCAGCCCCGACGGGGCGTGCGCCCTGGCTCAGCTCTCCCCTGCTGCTCCGGACACCCCGGGGCACCCAGGGGTCCGCGCCAGCCGACGGCTGGGGAGCGGGGTCGCCTGGGGTTGGGGGAGGAGGTGCTCATGTAATCTGCTGTCCCCAGGCGGGTGCCGCCCCTCCGCCCGCGCGTGCCGGGAGCGCCCGCCCGATAGCTCGCGCCTCTGCGGCCGATAAGGCCTTCGGGGGCCCGGCCCGCAGGTCCCAGGCCCGGCAGAGGCTGCGGTGCGTCGGGCAGCCCTAGCTGCTCCTCCTCAAGCCCCGACAGCCCCTCAGCAGGCCCCTGCTGAGGGACCAGCATGCCCTGGCCGATGGGCTTCTGCAAAGTGAGTACTGGGCGGCTGCTGGGGCGACGGGGTGCGGGGGCGGTAGGGGTTGTCGTGGGGGGCACTCAGGCCGCGCCAGTGGGCAGCCCACGGGCACGGGCAGCTTTGCACCACCCCCCACGGGCTCCCTGCCTTAGCATAGCGGCACGTCGGCCCTGTGGCTGAAGGGAGCAGGTGGCCTCTGCCCTACAATCTGAAGCCAGTTCATATTTTTTAGCTCCAGAAATTTGCTGTCAAATTGGGTTCCAACTACCTGGGTCTCTGAATTATGAGCTGTCAGCAACAGCGCAGGGAGGGATGGTTTTTGAGTTATCCTCCAAATCTATGGAGATCCCAGAAGCTTTCCTTTGAGTCTGCTAAACTGCGTTTCGTGGGTGTGTCCTTACGGGCTGCGGGACGGGAGGCCCGGCTAGGGGCTGTCACCGTCATTTGGAAGGGGCCTTTGGCTTGTTTTCTCCAAGAGCCACGGAGGCCGGTGATCCCGTGATCACACCTGCTCGGTGCTTTGGATTTATGCTGTTAACTCATGGAGGGAAAGGCGGCTAGGAAGGAAGGGAAAGAGCCGCAGCGTGGCCCTGGGAGATAGGGTCTCATGGGGGGATAGTTTTCAAGTGATAATGGCGCCTTAGCGAGGCCGCCCCAGCCTTCTCGTTCTTGCTGTGTAGATAGGGTCTGTCCTATCTCTGCCTGGCAGCGCGGCTGGCCTGCGCCGTGTCTCAGTGTCCTGTGCTGCTTCTTAGTTTGGTGATGGGTTCAGAGCCCAGAGTGGGACATCAGGCTACACGCTGAGAGGATAATAAATGAAAGGGACTCTGGTTTAGTAGCCGGCAGAGCATCTCTTCTGCTTGTCTAAAAGTCGCTGGGTGCAGGGGAAGCAATATTAAGCAGGAATTTCTTTCTAGTGGCATCTGCACAATTTGCCTTTCTTGGTTGATTTTTTTTTTCCCCTAAGGAGAGGGAGGCTCTGTAGAGGAAGCATGGGCTTCCCGCTTTAGTCCCACAAGCCGCAAGCACTTAAGGTTAAGTTTGCAGAGGCCACCTACGGCAGAGGTTCAGAGTGAGGCTTGAAGACCCGCTTGTAGCCAACCTCAGGAGGAGGCAGGTGACTGCAGGTGTTCTGTGCAATGTGTAAACTATCTTCAGACTCAAACGCAAGTGTTTTGCAGGAATAAGGAGTGGCCGATAGAAAAATTAAAATTAGCCTCTTTTCACCACCCAAGTAACAGCCTTGAGCCGCTTTTCTCTGTGTCTCAGTTTTATTGTCTGGGAAATGGTTCTGCTGTGAGGCTGAAGTGAGGAGCTCGGTTATGAAAACACTAGCAAAGGGGACAGAGGCTTGAAAGCGGTTATTGTAACCAGGATCCATAGACTCAGCTCACCCTTAACTTGATGGCTTAATTATAATTAGTTTCTTCTCTGTTATTGATATATAATAATTTACATCTTCGTGGGATACATGTGAGTGTTTCACGCATAGGATGTGACCAAGACAGGGCGTTTGGGGTGTCCATGGCCTTGAATGTTTATTATTTTTATGTGTTCGTATCATTTCAAGTCCTCTCTTCTGGTCACTTTGAAATGTACACGGTATTGTTGCTTTTGTAGTAGAGTCATCCTATTCTGCTATCAAACAACAGAGCTTATTTCTTCTATCTAACTGTATGTTTGTACTCATAACCAATCTCTCTTCATTCCCTTTGCCCCCCACCCACCCTTCCTCCTCTCTGGTATCTATTGTTGTATTCTCTAGGTCCAAGAAATCAACTTTTTTTAGATTCCATGTATGACTGAGAACATTCTGTATTTGTCTTTCTGTGCCTGGCTTATTTCACTTAACATAATGACCTCGAGTTCCATCCATGTTGCTACAAATGACATGATTTCATTCTTTTTCATGGCTCAATGGTATTCTGTTAGGCAACTGTAATTAGTTTATTTATTTTTTTATTTTTTGAGAGAGAGTCTCGCTCCGTTGCCCCAGCTGGAGTGCAGTGGTGCTATCTTGGCTCATTGCAACCTGTGACTCCCATGTTCAAGCAATCCTCTTGCCTCAGCCCCCTGAGAAGCTGGGACTACAGATGTGTACCACCATGCCTGGCTGATTTTCATATTTTTAGTAGAGACGGGGTTTTGTCATGTTGGCCAGGCTGGTCTGGAACTCCTGACTTCAGGTGTTCAAGGAGGCCACCCACTTTGACCTCCCAAGGTGCTGGGATTACAGGTGTGAGCCACCACGCCCGGCCTGTGATAGTTTTTAAACCCAGGTTGCCACCTCTCACCCCAAAATGGTTCTGCTAGTGTCTCTGCAAAACCGGCTAACTTATTTTGAGATTAATCAAACTGAAATATATTTAGAAAAGCAGGGCTTCAGTTGTTGTTGTTTACAGACAAACAGAGAAAATAGAGCGTTTTTTAAAGGTAATGTGACTAAAAACCTTTGTCCTCAAGGTCTGTTTAACAAGCTTTAGCAAACGTTTGTGAAGCACCTGTTGTGTATCAGGTTCTGTTGGGGCACTGGGAATATAGCAGTGAATAAAACTGACAAAAACTCTCCTCGCAGACCGTATCTCCTGGCAGGGGAAGGAAACAGACTAAACACACAGGCATCAAGTACATTCTGTAGAAAGGTGAAAAGTCAGTCCTGTTATTGAGGGAGAGGGAAGCAGGCAAGGGAAATAGGATGTACGGAGAGTTACAAAATTGAAACAGGGTGCTCTGAGACAGCCTCAGTGAAGTCCCATTGGACAAAGAGGTGAAGGAGACAGCCAGGCCCAACTCCAGAGGAAACAGCATGTGCAAAGGTCCTGGGGCAGGTGTGTGTCATGGGAATAACTGGGAGGCCAGCATGGCTGCAGTAGAGTGAGGTGGGAGGAGCAGGAGGAGGTGAGGTTGCAGAGACTGGGAAGGGGGCACAGGGGCAGAAAATGCAGGGCTTTGTACTTTGATACAGGGATTTTACTTCTTGCCTCAAGGGAGATGAGAAGCATTAGACAGTTTTGATATGAGACAAATGGCACCATTTGACTTCTACCTATGCCTGTGACTTCCTAATGCCTTTGGAACCAGGGATTCACGTTTTGTAGGGATACCAAATTAAACCACCTGATATAGTGTGGCAAATGGCATGATCATGCAATTCTAGTGCAGCTGTTCTCAACTTGCTTCCCTCTGGGATACATGGGTCTGGTGGGTGACGTAGTTCCGTGTGACATATTTCATGGCCATATCTGGGTATTAATAATCCCCCTCTCTCCTGCACTTTCCCGTTTAATGAGAACATAGCATCATAGATGTTCCTTACTTAAACATTTACCACTGGTAATATTTAAAAGGAGACGGGAAGATGGGAACCACTGTAAAATCACAATTCTTATGTGATGTATAATCACAGCTGCAGAAGCTCCTTCACGGTCTTCTTGGGACCTTGGTATGGATAAAGCGGAGCAAGGTTCTGGAGCATGAGCTGTCAAGAAAGCATGGGTGTAGGCGCGCGAGAGCAGCACTGTGGTAGAGGGGCTCCTTGAACGTGCTCTAAGTTTCAAAAAGTAGCAGTGGTCTTCCTACAGGTGATCTCGCTCCCTCGAATCCATTCTTCACACACAACCAAGGTGCGTTTTAGAAGGGCAAATCTTACCACTTCACCTTCTTGCTTTAAATCTTCAGCAGCTTCACTGCATTCTTAGGACAGAGTCTAGACTCCTTCCTGAGATGCCTCCTGTCCTGATCCTGCACTGTTTTATTTGTTTGTTTGAGACAGGGTCTCCCTGTGTCCCAGGCTGGAGTGCAGTAGCGCGAGCATAGCTCACTGCAGCCTCCAACTCCTGGGCTCAAGTGATCCTCCCTCCTCAGCCTCCAGATTAGCTGGGACTGCAGGCGTATGCACCTCCACGTTCAGCTAATTTTTGTCTTCTTTGGAGAGACAGGGTTCTCGCTATGTTGCCCAGGCTAGTCTCAAACTCCTGGCCTCAAGTGATCTTCCCTTTTTGGTTTCCCAAACCACAAGGGTTGCAGGCATGAGCCACCGTGCCTGGCCCTGCACGACTTATTCAGCACTCCCACGGTAATTGCTCCAGGATACTGTCAGTTCCTTGGACAGGCTGCACTTGGAAATTTTTATGTGATATTCAGAAACTCCACATGGGTGGGACTTGGGCTGGTCTTGTTCACTGCTGTGTCCTTGGCACTTAGCACAGTGCCTGCCACATGGTAGATGCCCATTAAATGTTGGTTGCATTCATGAATGAACAGTAAGTTGTTTGCAGAACACCTCATGGTTGATGACTGCTTAGTAGTTTGCTCACAAACCTGTGATTGAAAATTATTGCTCTAGAGGTTTGCCTGGATGACTTTTCAGAGTCTCTGCTCTTGGGATTTTTAAAAATTCATAAAATAGTTTCTCCTTCCTGTGAACTCTCATTGCACTTTATCAGAACCTCCCTCAGAGCTCCCTCATTTTCCACACCTCCCTGCTTATTTATATATATGTCATCTCTCCTCCACGCTGGGGCCGGGCGGGAGGAGGGCAGCAACTCTGTCTGACTCATCTTTGACTCACTTCCTTTTATTTTTTCTGGCTTCGACCAAGGTCTTGAACTTGGAGCTGAAAAATAGATTTGTTAAATGAATTAATTGGAAGTCCATGAATGAGTCTGAGCTCCTGATTCTCCTTTGCTTGCCCAGATCGTGAGCACTGGCTATTAGGAAAATGTTGGCCAATTGATGTCAGGAA